CCTTGAAGGATCTTGTGAAAATTTTGGAAAGATTTTGCACAGAAAACAACCAAGAGTCTTCACTGTCGGTGAAGAAAATATCCGAGTTGATACTATTACCCGAAGTTGATCCGAGCAATTCCGTCGCTTGGCGAGTGCGATTATGGGCGTTACTCGAGTCAGAAGAATATGAAGAAGTGGTTCTGAACACTGATCGATTGGAGAGCATGCCAAAGACTAACGAAACCGCTGATTTATATCTCATGTGTTCGCTGGCTCATATGAAAGTTGGAGTCGGGGAGACAGGCATAGAGTTGTACCTGAGAGCTTTTAACACCGATGCGAAGAGGGCGAGTAAATGCATGTCGGGGATTGGGGAGGACAACAAGAATGTTATCTATAATACTTTCTTGGAAAAAGCATCCCAACTTCATAGAAATATGATGTCGTTGAGTGATAAGGACAATGTTGATATGTTGAATTATTACGGCGAGATTTCGAGACTTCGGCCAAGTGATGTGAAGTCCGCGGAAATATATGGCCAGCTTTTAATGAAGGTGGGTAGCGAGCCAATTTATTTATAAATCCTAATACAGGAATTTGTTACCATATTAATAGTATTTAATTCCATTTCTAATTTTATTTCTTACTTACCTTGGTCTTATCTCCAGCCTTAACTTAATACAATCGAGTCTAGCTTCTTACGGGCATCTTTCGAATAAGGACACGCCCATGGACATCTCTCGAATGCGAATACCTCTCTAACATAGACGTCTCTTTAATACGTAGACGACCTTAATATGTACGCCTCCCTAACGCGGGCAGTTTTTTTTCTATTAATTTTACAATCAATAACATATATTAACAAGTGATCGAAGGAAAAGGACAACAGATCGTAAATAAGATCCAATTTTGTCCCACCAAAACTATTTCTACTAGCATGCATAACATTTGCATGTTTATTAATCTATAACTAACACTTTATCTGGCTAGAACCGTCTTAACAGAGTATAAATGATTTTTTTATTCATTGACAAAATTCTTGTGTGTTTTTTGGACCTTTGCAAACCTGTGCAAGAACTTATGTTTTCCCTTGCTTTCAGGTATTCCGTTACGAGGATGCAAAAGTGAGTTTCAGCCACTGCATTGACCAACTGGAATCTCAAGGCGACCTCCTTGAGGTGGTGCGCTTCAGGCTATACCATGCTGAATGCCTTGTTAACATTGGAAACTTTGATGAAGCTGTTTTGGATTATTTAGAAGCGATGGAACATGATTCCTGCCTAACGCAGATCACACTCCAGTCTCTCTCCAATGCGCATGTTACAAAATTAACTTCGTGTATTATCGAGCAAGCTTCGGCACTTGTCAACCAAATCTCGTGTCCTGACGGCGACGAATCGGATCCAAACGCTTCCGACAGTGCTCTTCAGTTATATCACCGTCTTTATAAATTGCTTTACGCTATTGATAGCGAAAATACGGACGCACTGCGCAAGTGTGCCGAGTCACTGCAGGTTAGTATTTATTTTAGTTTCCCTTATACCGTATGGAATGGCATAGCTTGATCATAGAAAATTGCTTCCAAGTTCCTCCATCTTTCCAAATAGACCTAGGAAAAGTGTTAAATATTCCTTGTATCCTGAATATGCTTTTTTTTCAAATGTTCATCGGGTTGAAAGAAAAAAGGTTTAACTGTACATTAAGTGTGCAACATTAGAGTATACCAGGGATGGATTTACTGAGGGGGGGGGG